GGCATAACTCTCTTGCAAGCTGTCTATTTTATCTTCATCATAGTTGTTTTAAATTCCTGGTCTGATAATTCCAAAATCCCTGCCAGATCTGAGTCTGGTTATAATGATTGATCTGTCTTTTGAGCTATGCTTTGTTTTTTTTTTTCGTTTGTTTTTCTTTTTTTTTCTTGGTGTACGTATGCAATGTGCTGGGTAAGGAAACTGTGGTACATAGGCCCTGTGTGATGTGGTGGTGTAGTGTAGAGTGTGAGGAAGCATTCTACTGAAACACCAAGGCATCTGCATTTTCCTGATTTTGCACCTCTAGACTGTAAACTTTACATTCACTTTTTTGTTGTTGGTGGCGGTGGTTTTTAGAGACAAAGTCTCTGCATTTCAGGCTGGCCTTGAACTCACTACATAGCTGAGGCTGGCCTTGAACTCGTAGGGATTCTCCTGCCTCACCCTGCCAAGTGCTGGGTTTACAGGTGTGCACCACCACACCTGGCTTTACATTCACTGTGTGCCCCCTTCTGGGGGGACAAGATAAGTGTGTGGACTCAAACTAGGTATTGCCCTTCCTTCAGCGCAGTTAGGCTCTGATAAAATCCCAAGAAATTGAGATCTGGTTAGTTTCTCCCAAGGAGTGATCTTGTTAAGAAAAAAACAGAGTGTTCTGGTATATAACTGCTATGGTTTAGAGCTAGAATGAACCCCTCAAGGTCTCATGTATTCAGAATGTATGCTCCTGTCTTTCTTCCAATTACCTGTGCTTTAGCTGATTTTCTCTGAGTAACTCCAACATGGCTCCTCCCCTGTTCAGCCATGTTGAGTCCAAGTCTCATGTATTCAGAGGTGGGGTCTTGAAAAAGTCAGGTCTGTGAGTGTGACCCGGTTCCTCCTTTTCCTCTCAGTTTCTTGGCTACCATGATGTGAGGCTCTCACATGTATAGTTTCTGCGCTGGACTTGGCTGACCATGGATTGAACCCACTGAGCCTGTCAGCCAAAACAAAACCCTTCCCCTTTCAGTCATGGTGTTGGGTATTTTGTCCCAGCAATAAGAAAGTGACTAAAACAGTTACTTTCCCCTTCTCTTGCCAGAAGCATGAAAGAATTTTCTGCAGTATCACTGAGAGCCCAGTTCAGCCCTTGGAGTTTGCAAAAGTCTGGGAGTCTTCCATGAGGAAATGTGCTTGAAATTTGTATCTCTCAAACTTGTCCATGCTGCTCCTCCAACAGTTCTCCAGTGATGGTTCAGGTATTCCCACCGTGACACTGGCTTGTGCGAAGGTTTGTGCTCAGGGTTTCAGCTCTGGCCAGCCACCGTTCTCTGCACTCCTGTTGGCCTCTCCAATCTACCTTGAGACCACCCCTTTCTGCTGGAGTCAGACTGGGGGTGGGTACTGGGAACTGAATTCAGGACTTCGTGCTTGCCAGGCAGGTGCTGCGTCACTGAGCTACATGAGCCCCTGGAGTTAGATTTTTGAGGAGTTGCCAATTTTATCAAGTTGTTCAGCTTTGTAGTTGTTGGACTGGAATAGCATCTTCTAACTCCTAATATGCTCAACCAGGAACCGAAGTCCTTAGTGAGAATCTGGAAACTATGTCCTTTCTCAAAAATGTTCTGAAATTATCTCATGAACAATCGACTCCCTTCTGGTTTTACTCTTCCTTTTCTGAAATGCATATTATTTGATTTTGAATTTACTGGATTTGTTCTCCTATCATTTTAATAATTCCCAAGAATGCTCTGTGTTCCTTGAATATTTTTATAGCAGTCTGTTCTTTATCACGGATGCAATGTTTTCACATCTTTGGGAGCACAGTAAAATATACATATGTGTGTGCTGTTTGAAATTTTCCTGTCTTCCTTCTAATGTTCTGGATTATTTGAGTCCATCATTCATATTAGTGGCTTTTCTCATTCATGTGGGAATTGGGCTGCGGATCTAGCTCAGCAGCACAAGCGCCTGCCTGGCAAGCGCAAGGTCCAGAGTTTGATTCCCGGTACAAAAAAAAACAAACAAAAATAGCCATTTATGTGGGAATCTTTAACTATTTGCTCATATTTAAGAGAAGAGCAGCAAAGAGTGAAATCTCAGTGTGAGTACGAGGCGCTGAGTAACTGAAAAATTCACTCTAGGGTCATCTAGCTGGGTAGTTTCATTGAAGAATCCTGGATGTCATTAGGTTTTTTCTCTTGAGCTGACAAGATTCTCAAGCTGAAAGGTCTTTTCCCATATCCTCCCTGAAACATATGCTGAATATTCTGCCCAATATTTTGTTAGCTGAGTGAGGTAGAAGATGTCTCAACATCCAACAGCAAACATATATTTAATCCCTCTTTGTTTAATATCGTTCCCTGCTATCAACTATGTACATCATTCCTTTACTCAGAGTATAAACCTGCGGGCTTCTGCTGGGTTGTGACTGATCGTCATGGTGCAGGGAACAGAATATTGGATCTAACTGCCTCTTAAACAGATATTTTATCAGTCTTTCCATTTTAGCTTCATCCTGCTAATATCATCCTTCTGGATATAACTAGTGCCACCAATTCCTATATCTCTTAAGAACTTGGTGGAGGAAAAGAGTTGGCGCCATGGCTTTCCCCACTGCTGCCTTAGGTTTGTTCAGCTTTTGGAATTCTCTTCGTTCCAGCCTTCCTCCTACTTTTTCCAGCTCCCCAAACTGTGCTGCCCTTGTTTCTTCTTTTGTTCTCTCTGTCCTAGTTGCTTATGTATTTTTTTAAAAAACATTAATTTTAATGTTGTTTTGGTAACGTTTTGTGGGAGAGTCAGTATGAGTTAAGCTGCTATCCTTGACTGGAAACTTCCCTGCCTGCTGTTTCCCCTGCCTTGCCTCCATCCCAAGGGTATCTCCGTGCAGTCCAGGTCTATGTGGGTGGGCTCTTCTGTGTCAGGTCACGATGACCTTGTAGGACTGGTTGACTATTTGTTTGAATCCACAATGGTTGATTCCCACACTAAACATTAAGGTAAGCCCCTCCCTTTGGCCATCTCTGACCAGTGAGTGGACCTAAGTGTGCTATTTACTGTGGACCAGCTATTTAAAAGATCAGAATTTGACCCTGCACCTAGCTGTGTGCTGCTGTGAATAAACCAACAAGGTGCTTCATGGGACAAAGCCCAAAGCAGTTATCAGACCATTGTGCTTATGTGGCAGGGACAAGACAGCAGGCTGGTGACCAATTTAGGCTTTGAGAGTTAGTCTCACATATCTCTTCTTTAGCTTTTAATGCATCTGGTATAGGATTCTGTCCATTTTTTTTGTATGACCTAACATTGGGAAACTGATCCCGGTGAATCAAACTCGGAGCAGATGAAGTTACATTAGGGAGTATTTATTTATTAACTTATAAGAGTCTGTGCCTTTTTCCAATAACTGAGCCATTCATATTTGTTACCCAGGGTATTCCTCCTTGAATGTCAAGCAAGAGACAAACCCCATAGTCATCAGATGAGTTCTGCACATTAGGATCTACCAGATTGAACTATGTACATTGTTGCATTTACCCCCCAGTCTAAGCATGTAAGGTCTCATCTGCATTTTAGAGATGAGCCTGCCAATGCTTACATGATTGAGTAAACTACCCAGGATGGCATGGCCGGTGAAAGAGAGACTGTGCCACATAATCTTATCTGTCAACTGGACTGGACTGAGCGTCCAGAAGAGGTGTCTAAGTCATGGGATGTAGCAGAATGTGTCTCTCGGAAGCGGGGCCTGGTTGGAAGTGGATCACTGGGTGCCTGCCTGTGGAGATGCTCTTCCCCTTGCTCTGCCTCCCAGCCTCCTTGAATAGAGCAGCTTTGCTCCACCGTGCATCTCCACCGTACTCCTTCCTTGGAGCCAGCGATCATGACCTGAAATCTCTGAAATCTTAAGTCAAATTAAGTTAACTCCATTGAAGGTGTTAAGTACTTTTTCCCAGTGATGGGAAATCTGACCAATACAGAAACTCAGAATATTCTGGCTCCAGTGTCTAGGGATCTTTTACTAATCAGAACTTGACCACAGAACTGCACATAGGATGAGAAGGGCTCAGAAGAATCACGTTACAGTGGAATTTAGAAGTCAGGGAAGGTCTCTCTCCAGAAACAATTCTCTACCTAAATCATGAAAGAAGAGGTTGGGCAGGTGAACAGCCAACTGACAGGTGTGGACAATGTGAACAGCATGTGTAGTGGCTGTGAAGTGACAAATGCATAGGTGACCTTGAGAAATGGAGTGGCTATCACCTAGGAGCCCAGGTGAGCCCTGAGGAGCCCAATATAGTATCAGATGTGAACAGAGAAATAGGAAAAGGATTATTAAGATGAAGCTTCCAGGTGTCAACTGAAACCTCTTGGAGCTAAGCTGGCCCAAGCTAGGATTGGACTGCCATTTGGGAGAGACAGGATATCAACGAAACCAACTATTCTTTCTTCACATGACTTATAGGATGTTCCAGCCCTAAAAATTATTTGGATATTTCTTTCCAACATGGCTGGCTTTCTTGCATTTGGGAGTTTCCTGCTAAGGATTAGTTAACTAGGGTATCACTATTTTTTATAATGTTGCATTATCTGTAAAATCCTCGAGTTTGAATGTTCATTGATGATTAATACTTTGAGGGCCAATACACCTGTAGTCTTCCAAATTGAATGCCCATCTGGTGGAGAGGTTATTAAGAAATGTTAGGGCTAGGGATTTAGCCCAGCGGCTCAGCGCCTGCCTGGCAAGCACAAGGTCATGAGTTTGGTTCCCGGTACCGGGAAAAAAAACAAACAAACAAACAAAAAAGAAATGTGGACAATGGACTGGGGATGTAACTCAGTAGGTCTTGCGTGTACAAAGCTCTGGGTTCCATGGGTACCACCACCACCCTTAAATACACACATACACACACACACACACACACACATACACACACACACACACACACACACACACACGCTTGGCCCTCTAGCTCACTAACCTAATGAATCATCAGGTTCTTTACAAGCTCAACAGGCTATTATTTTTTTTAAAAGTTTATTGGTACAAGCTTACAATACATAATGTGCATTTAGGGGACTTGGTACACATATAGGTCTTATCTTGATCATTTTTGACCCCCTTCCTTTGGCTCCCCTCCTCAACTCCAAAAGATCTGCCTCCTCGTTAAATTTCAGGAGGTCCATGTTATGGGACAAAATTGATGGGTGTCACACCCTCTCACCAGGTAGATGACAGCAAGGCCCATGCTACCCTCCTCACAGTGGAGGCGGCAGCAGGGCAGGTGTGAGTCTCATGTGAATGGTGAACATGTTCACTTCCTTTCCTTTCATCAGGGCTATACCCACTCTCTGAGCCCTCTGAGTAGTGATGTGTTTAATGGAGTGCTATCAGCAGCATTGAAAGATGCTCAGTGTTCTCAAGAAGCTTATTGATTATGCATTTTGTTAAGTCTAAAATGCATTTTCTCCACATTTTTACATCTAAGAAATAAGGTTGTCCCTAAAACATGGTTATCACCTGGCATTTGTTGTGACATAACTGAGAGCGTTTTGGTTTTGGTTTTGGTTTGGTTTCTGTTTTGCAGTACCCAGGACTGAGCCCACGGCCTTTGCACTGGGCTATATCCCCAGCCCCCGCTCCCTTGTATTTTGAGACAGGGTCTTGCTAAGTCATTAAATTGCTCAGGCTGGGATTGAACTTGTGCTCCTCCCACCTCAGCCTTCCAGAGTGCTGAACTTTCAGGGTCGTACCACCACGTCCACCTTCGTTTCCTTTCCTTCTTGGTGTTATGTACAGTAATGGTACCACGTAAAATCAACGAAACCCAGTATGTGAAAAAGGAACCGTGTACTGTGTAAACTGGTAGTAGGCATGAGCCTTCCTCACGCCGTCCCCTCTCCATGGATAGTTCTGCCCCTCTGCCTCACCAGTTCTGCTCAGCTATTACAATTCAGCTCAAATGTCACCTCCTCCAAGAAGCCCTCTGTGCCACCCACTCAAAACCCGTTCTCTAAAAAAGGAAAAAGTGGAAACAAAGCTTTTGTAAATGGGGAGGGGAGGAGGGGTTAAAGGGAGGGTAGGGCAATAGGGAAAAAAAGAATCAAGTTATATCATGTAGAGGTAGGAATTCTCTGTGACGAGTGTGATCATTATGTATATCTAAAGTGTAACAATAAAATCTGATTGAAAAATATCTTTTCTCTGGAATTCTGTCCTTGCCTCTAAGGTACATACCATACTGTGTTACATCTGTCCAGTAAGGCCCATCCCTCCCCTATGAGACTCTCAACTGTACACTTCTGCATCTCTGCTGCCTAGCACAGAGTCTGATAAAAGGATCGAAGAGTTCTAAGCTGTATGTGGTCCACACCCTATGAAAGAAGACGGGCAGGTGCAGTTCTGGAACGGACTAAGTCTGAGAAGTCTAAGAAGTCAAGGGAAGGCTTCCTGAAGGAAGGACCTAAGAGCTATCTAGGAGTGCTCTGTGCTGTTGATCACTCAGGACTGCAATGAAGGATGAGGACAAGGCACTTCCAGGACCCTCCTTGCTCCTCTGAGTAGATCTTGTGATGTTTGTTACTCAACTACATCCGTGCTGGAATGTCAGGAGGCTATGGGGCCTAATTCTTCATTGCCCTTCATAATCAGCCCTGGGTTCTGATGCTCAGATTCTGAGGAAGAAGCAGTTCAACCCCTGCGAGCTCTCACAGGAAGTCCTGAGTTTGTGGTTTACACTTCAGAGCTTCCTGCCAGGGCTTTACAAGGGTTAACAAGTCTCAGAAGTCAAGGGGAAGGCAGGCAGGCAACGGGACCACAAACATGGTACCGACTCTCCAAAGCAGGCACCTCCTTACAGCCTATTGTTAGACCTTTATCTGAAAACTGTCTCCCCCACACACAAATCTTCCAAAGTGCAGCTGGTGTGACTGCTGGTGGGGTGGTCTGGTTTTTAAGTAATGGTCACTTATGGTGACACTTAGGATTTGATTGAACCAAGTTGCTGTCTGCCCTTTTATGTGTTGTCTGATGGGCCCCCAGTGCCCGAAGTATTTACGTGCTCTCCTCTTTTCAGCGATGACTGCACAGATCATTATGACCGCATCCAAAAAGCCAAGGAAGTGAGTCACAAACGATTGCTTTTCTGGTGCCTCTTGTCCAAGGGCATGCATGTGGGTGTCAGTGCTTCGCAGACATCTACAAATAGGTTGTCTGCCCAGCTTGGCAGCTGAGACCTGGGGACACGTTCTGGTCATGGTGGTGGGGATTCAGGCAGCTCAAGTGAATTAAGGTGACTAAATCTGATGTTGTGGTCACACTTATTAGCCTCTTTTTCAATCTGCAGCTTCCTCTCCTAGACACTAAGCCTCTTTTTTTCTTCAGTCAGCAAACACCAGGGTCAAATTAGAGCTTTTATTTTACTCCTGCTCAAGGGTGGAGGGCCAGAGCCCACCAGGGCACATAAACCGGAGTGCCTCAGGCAGATGGGCCACCTGTAGGACGCCCAGGCCCAGTAACCAGCTGATGTATCACATTTGCATAGCGTCTGAGAGGGAGACAAGAAGATTGCTAAGACTTTTATGCTCTGTCACCCATCGCCCTAAATTCACACATTGTCTTTCTCTTCTGGGTGTGACAGAGATCTACAGGGAAGCCAGACTCCAGGCACGAGACCGAGTTGGAAGGTGCCGATGTGCCTGTGGCCCCCACGCCCTCTCGGGAGGCCATCGTGTCTGTAGAAGCCACTCAAGGAAAGAGTGGGCCTGCGTGCTGAGGTGGAGAAATCCCCAGAGCCTTTTATCAGAAAGCACAGTTTCTGTCACTTTTAATTAGAGGCGGCGGACAAGGAGTTTTCTGCAGCCCCCCGGGGAGGTTTTGGTTGAACTCGAGGTTTGGGAAGGGGAGGGCCTTTCTGCTGGCGAACTTGTGTGCCCGATGGAGGAGGCCTCTTCTGATGCCGCTGTGGGACATGGTGGGCAGGAGTCAAGGGACGATGGCAAGGCGCCTGGGGACGATGGCTAGGTGGTGGGGGAGGGTGGGAGGCTGACGGATTTTGAGCTGGTGGGGCTTGGATGTGGGAGGGCTTTGGGCCCCCTTCCTCGGTGGTTATTCTGCGGGTGCTTATCTCCAGCCCCTCGCCTGCAACAAGAAGACCTGTCAAGAGCTTATCCTAGCACGCTGCGGTCTATGAAACTACTGAGTGCCACTTAGGTGTGAGGTTCCCTGCTAGCTGTGCTGGGGGCTGTCAGGGGAAGGAAGCTGTCCCTCTCCTCCCAGAGCACTGGGTCTTCTGAGGAGACTAAATGCTAATCACGAAGTAGAGAAAGTTCCCAGGGCTTTGGAGAACTTGAGAAGCCAAAGGGAAGAAGGCATGGGGAAAGGTTATGCTGGGGTTATGCTCTGGACTCCAGACAGTACAGCCCAGAGCCTTGCCTCTGCACTGTCCTACAGGTGATGCCCCAAGAGCAAGTCTCATGGCTAGAACACACTGCTAGAAGATTGGAGTGGATACGGGGGCTATTAGGAACTGTATTCCCTCAGCTGGAACTCTGTGGCAGAGCTGTCATTTACCCAATTCTGTTGTCACACAACCTACATTCTGCCAAGAGGCTGGAGTACACACCGGGGGCTTTTCAGCCTCTGGAAATGTACCAGTTCTTCAAAACTTCATAAACAAGACCCAACCTCTGGGGCTTACAGGGAAAGATTACTCCTCTACTCACTCTGGGATTTTCTGCTTCGTGTGACTTTGGTCCACGATGGCAGCCCCAAGTCTAATCATAATGCAGTTTTTCCTGTGCTGCTTTAAAGTCACAGGAAATCTGTGGGAATGCCCAGCTGCTACAGGGCCCCTCTGGCCGCCTCTAGGCTACAAGTGAGGTATTCCAGCCCCAGTGTCCAAGGCCGTCTCCACTGGCTGCAAAGGGGACAAGAGGAGCAGATTCTCCCTGGGGTCAAGGGACGATCTCCTGCACCTGTGTAAGCCGGTGCAGCTTAGGAAGCACTGCTCCTCTCTGAGCATCACCTGTGGCTGCAGGGTGACTCCGCCAATCCATTAGGCAGCTTTGAACATGAAGGCTCAAAGTCAGACAATGTGTCATGGTCTGTGTGCTCTGGGAAAGAACAGAACACATCACCTGTGCCATCTTTGGCTCCCCAAGGTAGCTGAGGTTATGCTCGGGAGGGTGTGGAGAGGACTTTAACCCCTGCTCCCTGTTCCCAGCTGTGGGGCAGGAAGTGGCCTTTCTCCATCCCATGAGACAATCTGGGGTTGGCCGTTTGCCAGCCTGACTGTCCAACATTTTGTTCATTTGTTCCTCCTCCATTTGTTCCTCAGCTTCTAGGTGCTGGACCCTATTACTAGGTGGCAGTGATGACTCAGACACAAGCACTGTTCTCAGAGACTCTAAAATCAAGTATGTGAGATGAATCAGGACTGCAAATCGCAGTGTCAGCCTCCAGGAAAGCCCACACCACAAAGAGGTACACAGAAGGAGCCCTGTGAGTTTTGGGCACAGGAGTGGGCATGGGGCCAAGTGGCCGAGTCCTCAGGCTGGGCTGGACAGACAGTTAGCTACAGCTCTGCACAGCATTTTTGGTCAGAGTAAGAGTGCAGGTCCCTGGCTGCAGCTGCTGCCTAACACTTGTGCCAAGGGACTCCTCCAGACTCACTGGACCCCTTTTTCCATATGTATCTGCTGTCACCAACCCAGGGCTTGGAGGAAGGTGGGGAAGGTGAGGCAAGTGAGACATGGGGTGCAAAATGTGAGGAGAGGCCCACGCTCAGGGTCCTCCAAGAGCAAGGTGAGGGCCTCCTTAAGGTTTGCTCCCTCGGTTTCCTGACTCGCCTGTTGGCCATACAAGATTTGAGGCCAATAATCTAGCCCCACTGAGCTTGTGTTTCGCGTCTCTATTCATGTTGTCTGTCTCCTAAGATCACTAACAGCTGGGTTGATATAGTGATTCTAAAACCCAGAGATTAGTTCCCTGCACAAGTGACTGCTTAGTCAACGTGAGCTAATTATCATGTTGAGAATGTCAGCCTGGTGACGGCAGGCGTTGCCCCATCTTGGTTGGCATGCGAGGTCTACTTTGTAAGTAATCATGGTCCCATCATACTAGGTGATGAGAAAGGGCCTTTGTAAGGCCAGGGGTGGAGAACAGCCTGAGTGAGACGCAGCGAGGAAGCGGTGGGGCCTGGGGACTCAGCACCAAGGTGGAGAGTGCGGAAACAACGATAGGAGGAAGAATGGGCCTAAGTTTACAAAGACGTGCAGGCCCAGCCTGGGGCCGTGGGGTGTTAAGATGTGCGGCTAAGCGGTGGCAATGTAAAGAGGTGACTGAAGGAGAACCTAGGAAAGATGTCTAAAGCAAGGAAGCCAAATCCAAAAGGCACGGGGCCCTTGACCACTTTGTGGGGTCCTCAGGCCTGGCTGGAAGTGCTGGTGTGGGTGCTGCTGGGTTACTCCAGGGAGAGACCCATGGCAGGGGAGCTCAGCCAGCTGTGAGTGTGACGCTGCACAGAGCCAAGGGGCTCACCAGCCCAGCAGCGTGGCTAACAGATGACTGACACCCCAGCCACCTGCAGAGATATTTCCTTTCTCATTCCCTGCTGTCTTCTGCTTTGTGTGGCCTAGAGGCTCCCTGAGCACACTCCGCACTCTGAGTATAACCCTTTCCTGGTGGGTAGCCAGGCAGGCCTGATCGGGGGAATCAACCCTCCCTAACACAGCCCTCCTGGACATCACCTAGAAAGGGGGACATGGTCACCCTGTTTTGGGGGATTTTACTTGTTTGTGGTGCTAGGAATTGAAGTCAGGACCTTGCACATGCCTGGCAAGGGTGGCAAAACTGAACTACCCTTGCGGCTGCAGGACCATGTTTTGCAAAGATTGTTCTCCTGTGCCTATCTCCTGGCCTGACGTGGTTGTACCTGCATTCCCAGGAGCTCGGTCCTGAACACACCTCAGGCCACCGCCCATTACAAATGTGTTTACTCATATACATGGGAAATCTTTCTGCCTGTGTGGAGGTGTGCGGCCCATTCCGCACCTCCACACAAGCCTCGCACCAAGTGGATCTCAGCGGGTGGATCCCACAAGGCCAACCTGGATGGAGCTTCTCAAAGCTCTCTCCTCGTCAATGCTGAGTATCTGTTTTCTTCTGGTTTTTGTTTTGTTTTGTTTTTTTCAAATCATGTTAGCCACGAATGGAACAAGCCATCGCCCTCTGGTTTCAACCCTGACATTCTGAAACTGCCCGTCTTTCTTCCTTGCAGACTGGAGGTACCCTCCCCACAAGATATTTCCATGCAGATTTTCTGTGGCCTGTATGACACAAAAGAGGGGCAGCTTACCACATCTCCTACCATTCCGCATTTTCCTCTTGTACGTGTAGCAAATGATGAGTGCCACAGAGAGCGCCAGGAGGCCGCCTCCTACACAGAAGCCCGCAATGAGAAACAAGTTCATGCGCTTCCCTGAAAGAAGAAGAGACACGGCATGTGGGGAGGGGTCCTGAGCAGAGAGGTCATTTCATTGCTCTGGCCGAAGCCCCTGCCTCTCTCACCAAGCACAGGAAAAAAGCTTGATGGGTTACTGGGACTTTTGATCTTTACAAAGACCAAGCTCCTGGACAGAGGGGAACTGTGCCAATCCCTGCAGGGCTCCAGGGTCCAGGGTAAGCCCCCTCCAAAGCTCCCTGAGGGGCTGCTTTTATGGATTATGAGTGCCCGACCAATCATGAACCAAAGTCCATCCACGCCTCCATCCCCTGTGCAGGATGGCGTCCCCAGAGGAGTTTGGAGATCATCTAGCACAACTTCTAGTTTCCAAGACCAGGCCTAGAGAGAGAAGGAGAGGTGCCTGAGGCCACACAGTATCTGCCCGAGTGGCTCCTTGTCTCAGAGTTTCTGCTCGGTTTCTCCAGCTCTCATCTCTGGCTTCTCTCCTGCACCAGGCCCCTTTCCGACCCTCTTGACCAGGCAGTTCCCAAACACTCAGGGTGAATATTTCACTTGTGTGGCCCCGTCCTCACAGCAGTCCTCTCTTCCAGGATTTCCCCAACCCGTGAGAGAAGGTCAGTTGCATACTGAGTTAGCAACAGTAGCCTGGGCCTTCAGTTCCCATACCGTCAGTCCCGGGAAGGCAACAAGCAAAACAATAACTTCAGTGTCAAGGGAAATAGGCTTGGAGACCAGCTCTTGTAGGTAAGAGCTGTGCGGCCTTTGGCAAGCCACTCTGCCTCTCTGAGCCTGTTTCTTTCTTCATAAAATGGAAACAATGAAAACTACATCACAGGGTGGCTGTTGGAAGTCAATCAGATAATGAATGTGAAAGTGCTTTGTAAACTGTAAAACAGCCCACAGATGTAAGGTCTTGCTTTTACTGGCACTCTTTTTATTCGTGTTTTTGGTAGCTGTTTCCCAAGAGGGGTGCTGGGCCTGCTGCCCTTTGTGAGTCAACAGCAGTTACAGAGGAGCACCTGGGGCTGGGGGTCAAGGGGCTGGTACATGGGGAGAACGAGCTGGAGCTCGTCCCAGCATCACCGAAACACTGCTCCTGCCAAGCAATCCTAGGAAGAGATGATCACACATAAAACCAGGATGGGCCCAGGAAGCAGATCACAGGCTCAGAAACCAAACTGAGCCAGGCTTTCCTTCTTCCAGTTTCTCTCTGACCCCTTCTTTGTCTGCACGGCACCCTCTCTGTGCTCACCTAGGAGGGAGCACCCTATAGATACGAAAGCATAATCCTAAGCCATTAAAACTGAATCCACAAAGGAGTCCGGGTCCTTTAGGGCCTGCTGGCTTGGAGGAGTGGCTGGAAGTGCTAGGAGCCCATCTCCTACTGAGCTGAGGACTTCCCAGGTTCTGAGGCAGGGTGGGCCTGGACGAGTTGGGGTGCACACGCCTAATCCACACAGCGGCCAGCCAGCTTGGCTTCTCCTGGAGTCCTCGGACAGGGTGCCCGCCCCCTTGTCCTGGCACAAGCAATGCCCAACACGTCTGTCCTCAGAGTTGTCCCATGTCACCCTGGGCTCCTAGCAGTGCACCAGGTAGATACAGTCTCCCTTGTCTCAGAAGCAGCTGTGGCTTTGTCATTCAAATACAGGCCCACATATTCCTGAATCCAACCATTTCTTTACACTTCCTCTTGGAGATAATGTGGCCGTAAGTTTGTGTGATGGAGTACTTCTTGTCCAACCTGTTCCTTCCTCTTAGTGCTTTGTTTTAAGTACCTTATTAGAGCCAAATACTTAGGATTTGATCACTGCTCCTCTCTGCGTTGGTCCTTTAGAATGAAATGACCAAATACCTTTAGGGTTTTCAAGAGCAACCTCTTCCTCCTCAACCTACCCCAAATATTCCTCCCACTCCTCAGTGGCCATTCCCGGGACCAGCTCCTGCTCTGTACCATGAAGCAAGGGACACACATGGCCCTACCTTCAAACCTCACCTTCTCCCAAGGCTTTTCGTCCCTCCCTTCTCAGTGTATCCACATTATTACACTGTGGGATCCAGTTAAAATAAATAGGAAGAGTTGGATTGCCAGGTAAAAGACAGGACAGTCAGTTAAATTTGAACTTCAAATAAACAATGAATAATTTGTGCATAAGTAAGCCATATTTGGAACATACTCATACTGTTTTTCTAAGTTAACTCTGGCAGCTCTAATCAAGAAAGCCCAAAAGGGGAAAGGAGGTCACAGAGTCAAAAAGAGGACAGCTTCCGTCACTGTGCTTTCATGATGGAGGGTGTGAGAGGATGGCAGGTGAAGGGGTGCTGGGCTACGTCTGTAGCTGGCAGACTCCCAGGTGGCCTCCACTCCCAGGTGGAGTGTGGTGTGTCAGCCCCTCTGTCCAAGTGTGGACCAGACTGGCTGACATGCTTCTAGTGAATAGAATTTAGAATGATGCAGCATCACTCCTGAGATGAGGTTATAAAAAGACTGTGGCTTGTGTCTTGCATGCTTATTCTTGCTCTCCCTTGGACTGCTTGCTGGGAAGCCAGCTGCCATACTGTGAGGCAGCCCAGCAGCTCATCCCATCATTTAGTCATGTGCTATCTTCTTTCTGAATCAAAAGACTGAAGCCCAGAGAGGAACTACCTCTGTCAAGCCTATTCAGCTAAATTTGGGAGGACCCAATTTAGAAGTCCAGCCCTCTGACTTGCAGGGTACTTTAGCAAGCTGCCTCTCAAAAATTATTGTTGGGAGTCCTGGGAAGCCGGGAGAGTGGGGAAAATGAGAGCCTGAGAGTTTAAGGAGTTTCTGGAACTAGTACCAGAGCCAGGCTGTCCTCTGGGTGACAGAAGTGTTGCCTTACTGTGTCCATGGTCTTCTTAGCCCTGTCTCCCAGGCCTCTACCACCTTTCCACCCATCCCCTGTAAAACATATTTACATGGGAACTCAGAGTAATGGTCACCAGCTAGGAGAGGGACCGTGGGCAACTCAGATTCCCTCTTCATTAAGTAGGGGTTTGCGTCAAATGATCTCCTTTCAAGTTCTTTCCCCCTAGAGAGGATCTTTTGATCTCCCTAAAGACAAAGGAAGGGAAAGATGCTCAGAGAGAGGACTCTAAAAATGGGTGCCCACCTCCTCGGAAGTTTCCCTTGAGGGTATCCAGGAAAAAGAGGTACATTTTCACTTCTTATACTGTGCCAAAGCTGCCTCCCAGCCCAGACACCTGTGCCTGGGAACAGGTGTGGCACCTGCCACCATGCCTATGGGCCTGGCAGGCTGTGTGTGAGGTAAACTTGAGACCTCCTGGCCCAGCCTGCCACACACCTGAGCAGCTGACAGCCACCGCATCGGATTCTTCGCTAACTTCGTTACTTGCCGTGCAACTGAAAGCCTCAGTCAGTTTCTTCCACCGGTATGTGATGATTTTCCCAGAACCTTTCATGAGATATTTCCCATGTTGGTACAGGTTTAATTTAGGGTTAGTTCCATTCACCACCTCGCAGGTCAAGGTTTTGTTGCTACAATCCCAGGAGATCTGTGGTTTTGAGACCATCTCTGAAAAGAAAATAAAAGTCCAATTCTTACTAGGTGATTTTATTTTTAGAGACATCCTAGTTAGACAGTGGGTAATGAATGGGTTCAGTTTGGAACCAGGGAACAATTTCAAAAACTCCTAGTGATTTTCAAAATTCATTTTAATTTTTCTTTATTTACATACTTCAGAACCGAGTTTTTTCTGGTAAGTTCACAGATACATTGTAACAGTGAAAAGTATACGCTTCTAATGTTTATACCCTGCTGTGTCCCTTAAAATGTTTTCCCATGCTATTACTTAGTGCTACCAGAGAGGCTGACATTTTCCTCCCGTTTCCTGACAAAATATCCAAAGCTCTGAGGGTTCAGTGTGTGGTCTTAGGATACCCACTATAACAAATGCAGATCAAAAGAGAAGCCTACCCGTCCAGGTCCAGGAGTGCAGCTGAGAGGATCGCTGTGTCCTGACCTCTACTTACCCAGGAAGCTTGAGAAGAACAATACTTCTGCAGCAGCCAGGAACACCGCTCTGCCGAATCATTTCATCTGCGGTGGGGAACCTGGGTCAGCCACCTTCCCCTCCCCCTGCCAGGTGGTTGCCTGAGGGTTTGGGTGTGTAAGGAGCGCCAGGCTCTGCAGAGGAGGGGCACCACCCGGAGACCAGAGACCTGGCTCTGCCCTCTCCCAGCCCAAAGCTGCCTAGTTATCCGCTGTGCTTCACTAGACCTCGTCTTTAAGAGAATAACAAAAATTCTGCACCTATTACCAGACAGATAACTAGTGCAAAGCGCTGGACGAATCCTTAGTGCTGGTTCTTACATTGGCAGCCAGAAACTCCTCAACTCTCCTTTTCTGACATGGTAACATTTAAAGGGTGCGTCAAAGAAGAAAACAGCCCGACCTTGGCATTTAGATAGGTCTAGCAAGTGACCCCTTTGCTTTGCTTTTGTCCTTTTTACTTTTCATCCTTTACTTTGTTTCCTTAGACTTGCTGCCTTTCTTGTCGTCTGTCTTCATGCATTGGGCAGATATCTCATTTTTCCATGATTCCCTCCCTGTCTGGATCTCAGACACCAGTACCCGCCCCAGAGACCATCCCAGTCAGTTCCATTTCTAGCCCAGTATACAGGCATCAGAAATAAAGCTTACTTTCCTTCTGGAAACTCTGTGAAATTCTGTGGACACAGAATGAAGAAAATTTAAAAAAAAATCAACCTACAGCACAATAGCATATGGTTTAGGGGTTGGGTCACACTCTTGTCTTCAGAATGGAAAAAAAAATTTGTAACAGTGATATTCCCATTATTGTAAAAATTTATAAAATACGAAAAAGATTTAAAGCAAATTATAAATCACCAGCAATTCCACTTCCCAGAGTCAATAATTATTAATAGTGTGTTTTTCTTTACTAAATATTGTCTATGAGTAAATATACATATTAACGATACCATATTTTAAAATTAAAACTATATTAGGTGATCTTATGGCCTACTTTTTTCTCCTGTGAAAGTAAGTTATATTACAAAGTTCTGTCTTTTATGAGCATCAGTGAATGTACATCGCTACCATTTTTAAGTGATACATTCTTCGTTTACTTGGTAAGTTTCCCTGCTGGAAATTTCTAAATCCGTTTCAGTATTTTCCTAGTGTGACCCGCACAGCAATGAACCTCATGCAGAGATAGCTGTGCACTTATCCTCGCTATAGGACAGCTTTCATAGGTGGCCTGACCTGATCAACAGGAGCAGTTGTTAAGGCCTTCTCCTAAATGAGAACTCCTTCATTCTGGCTACTACATTAAATCCTCCTCCACTGCTTTTACAGAGACTTCCGCTGCCTCTTCAGCCAGCGGGACAGCTGCCTCACAGGCGATGTGGGTATCACGGCTGAAGTTGTGAGAGCCGTGGGGAAACAGATGGAGGGCTTTAGTGGGGGCAAACGAGTGCGTGTCCCAGAGACTCCAGGGCACTTCCGCATACATGGCCTCATGGAGTGTTCCTTGAAGTTATGACAGGTGAATATCCCAATCCAAAAATCCAATGTCTGAAATATATTTGGTCCCAGACATTTTAGATTGGGATACCTAACCTGTGCTTGGAAAATGGATTCAGAACAGACAGGAGTTGGCCAAGTCCATGTGCCAAGTAACGGTGACCAGGCCGCAAATTAAGTTGAGACGCTGTGTGATGTTGGCATGCACACAGTAAGGACGCTGGCTTTTGGCCAATGTGTACAAGGTTTCCTTGGGGAAGTGAAAATGTCAAACCTGGTGATGATGATTGCAGAACTCTGAATATACAAAACACTACATTTTACTCTTTAAATGTGCACATTGTACGGATGTGAATTGTATCACAGTGAAGCTGTTTGGAGAGTGAAAAAGTCACCATTTTTATGAAAAGAAGCCCTGGGTTTGACTCCTGACTGTGCTACTGTCAAGCATGAGAAGTAGGACAAGGCACTTCTGACCACAACTGTTTCCTTACAGCGCATGTGGGGGCAATAATTACCAGCTCTCAGGATTGTTGGGAGACTTCATTACTATCACAGAAACAAGCCCCAGACACCTCGCTGGTAATTATCGTCACCCCACAATACTAAGTGTGACACAAATGTGAGCACACGTTTGTGTAAGGCTCATATTCGACATAGGACGCCCGAAACGTGCATGCAGGAGAGCTGATGCCAGCTGCTTGCAGAGCCATCCTCACCCGCACCCCGGCTTCTGGAAGGTGCTCTCCAGTCCAGGTGGCAGTTCTAGGGTAGGAAAGGGGCCACTTATGAGGAGCTGACAGTGTCTGCACTGCGTGAGAGGGACTCAGGTGCTACCTGCAGGTCCTGGGGTCCAGGCAGGAGACCCGAGGTAGGAGGAGGGGCCCCGCCATGCCTCTGGGGACATTTCCTGTGTGAAGCACAGAAAATACTTCTCTGCTCACTGAATTCCTGGCCTGTGCTGGGCTTCCTGGCGGCCTCATCATGCCAAGGGCAGCTTGCTCTTCATTCTGCCTTGTCTCTCTGGACTTCAAACCTCAGTGGCATTGCCACTGCCCCCCTTTATCTCCTCCTCACTTTCACCCAAGCCACCTTGTCCTTCCCTTCCCTCCATATACCCCAAGTGGCCAGCCCTCCATGTCACAGGCACCCCACAGTCCAGGCCAGTGGTTACCAACCCTGGCTGCTCTCTGGAAGCACCTGGGAAACAGAAACTACTGATGCGTGGGCTTCATGAAGTTCTGATACAACTGGTCTACAGTGGGGCCTGGGCACTGGTGACTTCTAACAGCATCCCTGTTATTCACACCTGCAACCAAGATTTAGAACCACCTCCTGGCCCTCGCTCGCTTTGCTTGGGTTATAGCAGCAGCTTTGTCGTTGGTCTCCCGCCTCCGCTCTTACCCTCTCAGTACATGTGGAGACAATAAAAGCCACACCTTGTTTATTTTCTCCACATTTCAATAAAAATCACCTTCCACCTCAATTGCTAGGATGTCGAGCAGATCAGAAACAAAGGCTGTTCCTTCTTGTGTTCATTGTTTCCAGCCCTTTCCTGCCATGGAACCCTGGCTTGGAGTTGGCTCTCTAAGACAAGACTCACTTCGCTCCAGGCGGCCGCTCCTTCCTAGTCCTCGGCTTGCTCACACCTTCCTCACACACTTGGGACACCAGCCTTTTCCTCTGCCCACCGTGCCCTTTCGGATTAATGCCCCTTAGTCCGCTCAGCCCCAACCCTGCAGCCACCTAAAGAGAGAGCTATAAGCAGACAGACTGGGCTCTGTGAGCTGGGCATTTCTATGTGTGTGAATCCCGCTCCCCACCCCGCAGACACACACTTGTGCCTCCAGGGGGTTGAAAGGATTCATTAGATTTACTTAAAAGCTACTCCAGAGGCAGAGGCCAGGGCCAGGGCCATTTCATAAATGCTGTTTCCCAACCTGCCAAATAGCACCCACACTGAGACGAAGACATTTGGGGAAGGTTTACCTTGAATCCTCAAATGAAATTCTTTATCCAACACGCTTGTTCCACTTGTATTGTATATGATTACTTTGTAGATATTGTGAAGGCTTCTCTCCAGATGTTTAATTTTCAGAGTTCCATTTGGTAGTATTTCATATGTTTGGTTTAACCGATACTGGTTCTTGCCTTTGAGTTGCGCAACCCTTCTTCCTTCGGCTTCCCATCGCACCTCATTGATAACATCACTCATTTGGAAATTGGGAATATCCAGGTTTACGTCCCGACCCAAGGCCCCCCAGAGGACCCTAGGCTCTCCGAGGGTGGAACCTGTGAAAAGCACAACAGTGACTGAGGTCTTGGGACTGCCAGAAAATGCTGGGCTGTGAGCTCTTTAACTCAGGACATCCGAAGAAGCTCCCCATGGTGACAGTGAAGACCCGCGCACCAACTTACCTTTAGTGGAAAAGCTGAAAAGCAGAAAGAAACTGGCTAAACTTTTATACGGGAGGCTCATCTTTGGGATTCGTTTTCTTGCGGTGATTCTGAGCTCTTCTTGCAAAAGGAACTGAGCGGAGGCTGGTGGAACCCACCCCCTGAGGACGGAACCACGTGTCTCTGTGCTCCCTGGCAGGAGCAGAGCGCTCACACACGCTCAGCAAAGCGTCAAGCTGGGGCTGCTGCGCCAGAACAGGTGTGCTCTGGAGCCTGTGTTTTCTTATCACAGTTTAATTCCCACCAAAAGAAAAAAAAATGAGGGGAGGTGGGTTTTATAACCCCACGGAAGAGAAAAGGAACTGAAAGGTAAGTAAGTCTAACAGGACCCTCTTTTTGTAAACAAAGAGCCAAATTTAATGTCACAATCCCTCTGCTATCCACTCAGCTCTCTCTCTCTAACAGGACCACAAGGAAAGATGGGTACATGCCCATAAGCCAAGGGCAGACTCCAAATATTTGTCACACAGTGGTAAATGTTTGGAAGCGTACATATATGAAATGATTAAAACTAGGTTTCTTTTTCCTGAAAGATATTTATGTTCTAAAATTGTTTATCTACTAAAAAGAAAGAAATGTAAATTGAGTCTCAACTATAAAGGCTTAAAATCTCCAGATCTTATGTTTAACATACATTTTACAACTCTGTTGAAATTCACAGGTGAATAAAAACTTGCTGCACAACAAGTAAGAAGCATAGAGACCATGAATACTGTTCTACAACCCGCTGGAAAAGCATTGAAGATAGTTAACACGACGATGGCTGAGAAAGGGGAACCATGAGGAGGAGCAGAACGAGAACCTGGAGAGCGAGGGGAAAGACATCTGCGACGCAGGGAGGGGGCAGGACTCTCTGAAAAAGATGCACGGAAGGAAGGAACAGCCAGTGACAGACGGCCAAGGTAAATTTCCATTTCTATCATTGTTTAGGACACACTGAGTATATATCTTTAAAGTTTTGGAGGTTTTTTTGCCAGTATCAGTTACAAATATGGAGATTATCTTTCAGAAAGTTACCCAGGAAATGAAATTAAGTCAAAGCACTAAATTTCTACTATCACGTAAAAGGAAGACTAAATATAATATTTTATCGTACTTGTGTAGCCAACTCCTATCTAAAAATATCCACAACAATAGATTATAATTGGATTAAAGGGGCTGGGGATTTAGCTCAGCGGCACAGCGCCTGCTTGGCAAGCACAAGGTCATGAGTTCAATTCCCAGTACGGGAAAAAGCAAACAAACAAACCAAAAAAAGCAAATAATTGGATTAAAATTGTAAACGTTAAGAAAGTCCTGTAATAATGCCTAAAAGACAATCTAGAAAGATATCTTTATATCTTTGAGTATGGAAGACTTACCTACATAGACAGTGCAACCCACAAGTAAAACAGAAAGATGGACATTTACGTCTACAATTATGGATACCTAAAAATGTAAAATTATATAATTTTCATATATATTGCAAATATTTTGTCATTTTGCTTATTTTGTCCTTATATCTTTCATTAGCAAATAAAAAAGTTTTTTAAAAAGGGCAAAAGATATAAATGATCAGTTTACGGAAGAAATACTTCATATAATCAGACATGTGAAAGAAGTCTGTCACCAAAAAATATAGATATCCTAGTTATAATATACCATTTTACCACAAAATTATAAAATATACACTTTAAGTTATTGACATGAATGTGGGGATGAACAGGTAGCTTCATACAATATTAGAAAAATCGAATCAGTACATCTTAAGAGGTGGAATTTGGCAATTTCTACTAACCTTTTAAAAATATATATTTTTTGCCCTAGTAGTTTTAAGAACTCTATCCTACACAAATGATTGCATAGGTATGCAAAAATTCAAGGACATTTATTTTGCATCTTGATAATAAAATTACAAATAACAAATCATAATATATTCAAATTATTAAACATTGTATGACAGTCAAAATAGAATGAAACAGTAAGTAAGACATGGAAAGACACCTTTGGAAAATCATATGAAAAGAGCAAGCCAGGCGTGGTGGCACATGCTTATAATCCCAGCACTCGGGAGGTTGAGGCAGGAGGATTGTTGGGAGTTTGGGACCAGCGTGGGCTACAAAGTGAGCTCAAGGCCAGCCTGAACTGCATAGCAAGATCCTGTCTCTTTTTTTTTTTTTTTTTTTTCCCAGTACCAGGAATCAAACTCACGACCTTGTACTTGCCAGGCAGGTGCTATGCCGCTGAGCTAAATCCCCAGCCCCGAAGACCCTGTCTCAAAAAGACAAAAAAAAAAAAAAAGGAGCAACTTGCAAAACAATATAATCCCTTTTCTTATATTCTTATATTGTTATATTATAATGTGCTATACTATACTATATTATTATTAGTGTATGCATGAAAAAAATTCCACCCACTCATGCTGAACTTTTTATAGTGTTTGCTTTTCAGGATTTAAATGGAGGTCTAAATGAAAACTTCCCTTTTTACTACATCAGTGTCTATGAAGTTGGAAATTTTAGTAAAGAATACATTTTTAAAATTTTTTTTTAAATAAAGGATGCTTGTGGTATATATTTTTCTAAAGTATTGGTGGACTCTGAGAAACCATTAGCATGTAGTATCCCTACTTCAAAGTGGCCAACTCACCAGCCACCTGTCCAAAGCCACGAGACAGGCATCCTCTAACCTCCTCAGCTTTTGAGAGAGGTTGCCTTCTCTTCCTGACAATGCTCTGGTAGTTTTATGCTCTCATAGAGCAAGTGGACAGCAGCTTTGTGTTTTTGTTTTTTGAGACAGGGTCTTACTACGTAGCCCAGGCTGGCCTTGCGTTCACGGCAATCCTCCTGTGCCGGCCTCCTGAGTACTGGGATTACAGGTGTGCTCCACCAGCTGGCCGGTTCTTCTTGAAACATTAGCTCTTCCTGTCACATCTAGTTCGATTCTGAAGGATAAGCACGGCTTCAGCAGCAGAAACCAGGGCAGAGGAAGGGCCCGACAGGCCTGATGCTTACAATGAAAACTTCTGTACATAAACAACTATTAAAAAATTTAAATGTCAAGTACGAAAACAGGCAGATTATTTGCAAGATACATGGCAAAAGTTAATATCCTTAAAAATCAATGTTTTCCTTTTAAATACAGAAAGAAAAGAAAGACACCTTCACACTGAGTCAAGGTCCTAAAGGAACAATTCATAAAATATACAACTCAGTAACAAGTCCATGAAAACATAGTTAATGTATTAATAAAGACATTTCCATTTTAACATAGATACAGTTTTCACTTAAAAAATAAAAACACACAAGTTAATGGTGATAAAATTGGACATTTTTGCACTGGGCCAGTAAAAATGCAAATAGCTCAGGTTCTGGTGAATAATCTGTCAGTATGAATGAGAACTATCAAAAATATTTTTATTTTGACCTAACAAGTCCACAGGAGTTTTTTTTTGTAGGGGAATCATTTTTTTGTAAGGGTCTGAACTAAGATTTGGCTATAAGATTGTACACTGCAATATGAAGTCAAAATTAGACATGGTTTAAATGTCTAAAAGAAATGTAGGTAACTCATGTTTGGAGAAGCTGTGAAATACAAAAAAACAAGTCACAATTATATGAAAGGAAAAAAAACTATCCTTTTTCTATACTCAGCTTAGGTTTTCTGGCTCTGTTATTCTATTCCCAAAGGACAAATTAACAAGACACACACCCACACACGCAAGTTCAGAAACATGTACATTATACGTAGTACACATGGTACCACCCATGGGTGAGTAATCGGAAAAGATGGGTAGAACTTGGGCTTGTTCTTAGGCTAAGCAAAAGTGAAGAGGGTAGGGATTTGGGGTGGGGAAGACAAGTCCTGAGATACCCAGAAAAAGAGAGGTATACAAGATTGTTTTAGTCACAGCACAAAAAGCTGATAGAAGTTGAGAGTCCTCTTCTTCCCGGCACAGGAAAGGGTGGAACCCTTCACAAGTAACTACTTCCTTTATAAATGTGAGTTCCTCTTGTGAAAGAAAACTCTGTGCCCCGATTTAGAGCTTGTCTTGCTTCTGCTGGTTCAAACGCCCGCTCGCTCAAGATAGTCCCCATTGCGAAGAAGCATGTCTCGGGGTGGTGCGCTCTGATCGCCTTCACAGTAAACCACATAGCCTCCCCGTATCTCTCAAAAGAGTGTGTGTGGTGTGTGTCTTCTGGTGGGGCCATCCCTGCGTGGTGGTGGGATGACGGCTCTTTTTCCACCGTCCTTGGTTATTGCTGCTATCCTAACGTTTCTGCTTCGAACGCATGCGGCTTTTCGATTACAATCTTTTTCATTCTAAGTGTGCCCACCGTTGAGTTGGGCGCGTGCATCTCGGAGAGTCTCTGGTCCCCGGCTCACTGCAGTCTCTCCCTGTACCACCTACCCTCTCTCCCTCTGTCTCCGACGACCGTCCTCCCCTCACTAAAGTTCCTGAGAGGCAGACTAACAGGAAGGAGGCGGACGCGGAGGAGGAAGACGCTGTCTCAGAGCCCTGCTCAGGGTGAGCTTCACTTATTTGCAAGACAAGTGAAATACTGGGGGTCTAGAATCCGCTTCCTTCTCTCCCTGTGTCAAATAAGTTTCTGTAGATCACATCCAACTGAATTTCTTGAATTACAGGGTTTGTGAAGAGAAAGAAATTCACAAGGGAATCTGATCTCTCCTCCATTCAACTGAGGATCCCAACTCCATAGAGGTTACGGAGTTGACTCACCCCTGCTGGCCACGCCAGCACCTAAGCCTCGGCTCCACAGACCTGTGCTCCAAGTCCTGGCCCTCCAGCCTTGGGCCTGAGACCTCCTCAGTGCTGTCTTGGCCTCTGGCACCTCTCCTGCCCCTCTCCTGCGACGACCCGTCACTAAGCCCTGCCTCGCCGTGCTGCGCAGCTCTGCCGCCTGCCTCCACGAGTGCCCCCCATACCTCCCCACAAGCTCTGGGGACAAGCTCGAAGCAGCAGTCAAGTATGTAGCACTGTTCACCAAAAACTGACATGGGCCCTGGCCTTAGGGCCGGCAGAGAGGCCGCGCCGTGTGTCGGTTTGCGGCCAGGGTCTGTTGCTGCTCGCTGTGGCTGCACCTCGGTGTCACATCAGCAGCCGCAGCTGCAGCCCGTCAGGTTCCACTGGCGTTGGCACTGACGTTGGCACTGGCGCTGGCATTGCCAGGCACTGTGTTTGGTCCCCCTGAGGAAAACAAAACTTTGGGAAGCTGACATGTAAGAGCAAAATGGATAGCTTGCACAGAGCAACTGTCTCGTTCTGCTTCTGGTATCTTGTACTGTCCGGTTCTGGAATCTTG